TAAAATCAGGAAAATGAATCTGAAACACTTACCATAAATAATGACCAGCAACCTCCATGCGACCAATACTCGCTAGACTCAACGCAGAAAGTTGAAGAACAAAAATTTACTAGTGTTATAAAGAATTTAAAAAAGATATATCCAGAGAAAAAAATGAAAGACATATCCGTGTCATTTTGTTTTATATGTTTATTACATTTAGCAAACGAAAAAAATTTAAGTATTGCTGTGGAAAATGATAAATTATCAGAATTGACGATTCAACAGGTAGAGATGTTCGATTAGAGAATATCGTTCATTTGATTTGTTTGATCGGATCGTGGCCAATCATAAAAAATTTTTTTGAGTATGGTCGGTCGATAAAGTGATCGATCATTAAATAATCATGCCTGACACATATCGATATATCACTCGTGTTACATTAACATTTGCCTTTATCGTTATTATTTTCCAATGCTAATTCCGTGGTTAGTATTGCCATACACCTGCTTTTGATGGATTTATAATTATACTGCTTATCATGGGAAGACATTTATCTGATAATTTTTTAAAAAAAATTCACCGTTTTGATGCTATATATACGTTTGTACATAAATATGGAAATCAATGCATATTTGTGATATATCACTCGAAGCGGGTGAGTGCATCGCAAATGATCTTTATTATTTTGTATAATGAGCTTTATTAATAAAATCGATCTTATAAGTAATACGTAAGAGTATAATGCTACTTACGCCAGAAATATCGAATAATTTGCATCAAGATATATATTATACTGTAGCATCCAATTAAATATAAAAAATAAATTCTAGACTTTAATATCAGTTTTAGTAATTTCAATTTTTAAAATTTATTTAGCATTAACAAATTTCTTATATACATTTATTAATGTGCTTGTAGTTTATGCATTTTATTTGCTGTGATTCAAATTCTTTGTCAAATTAAACGCTTGACCTCAATTTGTTTAGGCTAATGGTGTAGATTAAACTGAATATAAATTTCATCAAATACATATTAGTAATTTGACCTAGAATTTCGACCAGAGACAGATCGAAAAAACGTGAGTTGCCCTGATCGAAGAAATTTCGGTCGTTCTGGCAAATTCCTTCCTCTCTGCTTTGTTACTGGTGTACCCGAACATGTTGGCAGCTGTATTTGTCTTGATAATGATAAATAGAAATAAAATTCACATGAATTTGACAATTTTTTCAATCGTTGTTTTTTATCGTCATTTTCATCGCTTTCGACAATACGGATAGTATTTGCAACTATTTTCTACAGAATCAATAAGTAAAATTAAATATTATAATAAACAGCTAATAACAGCCAACAATATAGGCAAACAAATTTTACTTTTGCCATCCAGGCTAGTAGAATAGTTGGGAGAACCTTAGTGCCAATTCTGATATTTGTGGGGGATGCTTAATGTCTTTGTGCGTGTAATACGGCACACATACCCAGAGGGTGAATCAAGTCTTAACATTAACGTCTTGAGTCCTATAGTAGATGATCAAAAAGTCGAATAGTAAAAAACGTTAAAACCTGCCTATGTATAAAAACAATTTGGAATTTGGTTAAAAAGTTATCTTTGTTAATCACTAAAAAAAAAAAAAAAAAACAATTGTTACTTCATCTTTCTTGGTTTTTTTTGGAGCATTTTCTTTATTTGTCTAAATACAACAAACATTTGGTATATTTGTCAATCGCTATATTATACTATAAATCGTACAGTAAACAAGAGGATAGGAAAAACTTAGTAACTACATTTTCTAGGGTGCGTCGTCGTTTACGTTCCTTTGACAATGGTTGTTCGTGAGCCTTTATATCATCTTGCGAAGTTTCTTCATCATCCTGTATAAAATACAGAAAAATTTTGGTTAAGTAGATATCAATATTAATCATTATATTGCTCCTGTGGACATAGAACAACCACTTCTGCCTAGTGTTTCGATCCTATTTTTGACAGGCCATCCGGATTCTATTAAATGCGGATTGAATCCACATTAAATTATATATAATGCCGGTTTTT